ATACGGCCATATCTTATTGAAACATTGGTTCCCGTACGATCACCGAAGTTAAGCAAACTCAACCCTGGTCAGTACCTAGATGCGTGAACGGTTGGGAATACTAGGTGCTGTAAGCTAGGATATGCGCGTGGTGTAATGGATAATAGCTCGGGATTCTTAATCGGAGAACAGATTTCCAATCCCCATTGGGTTCGTTATATTCACTTAAGCCAAAATACCATTTGGAACGCTACGAAACCACCATTTCTCCCCCAACCCTAGCTCTGAGTTAATTAGTAAGCTTTATATCACTAAATTATTAGTATCTCCTCGCAAAATATCTTTGAATTTAAAAATATTTCCTGGCTTTAAATAACCTCCAAACGTTTGATCAGCCGTAGAAAACGAATCAATGATTTACTATCGGTATGACATGAAAAAAAAAATTATGTGGTTATATATTTTAAATGGTGTGTATGTGCGTATATGTGTGTATGCGTGTATATGTACAAATGAGTTTACTAATTCTTCGTAGTAAGACAATATATGTATGGAGGGGGAATATACGCACGCATATATACACGCACACTGAGAGAAACGCACAAAAATGGAAACAGATCCAAGAACGCATAGGGGTCAGTAAAACATTAAAAGATAAAATGCCGATGAGCAATTCATCATTCCGCTTGGACCAACCTTAATTGTTTTATGACCTTTCGCGCAGAACTCTTCACTGCCAATTCAAGAAAGAAATTCGGATTACTAACACAGAAAATGTCTCATATCGAGAATATCTAACATTGAAAAATAAAAGAAAAAATTAATTATTTTTAATAATATGTGGAAATCTCCACTTTTACCTGAAGACGGTCACGAGACCAGAAACACGTGTAGTACAATTATGTAAATCAAAGCATAATTTTTTTTTCTAAATAAATCCACATTACAACCAAAAACGTTTGCGGCACCTCTCTTCTCTTCTTTTTAATGTACATACTTTTCTCTCGTTGGAACCACTACAACCTTTTTTTCTCATATATATATATATATATATATATATATATATATATATATATATAGAGAGAGAGAGAGAGAGAGAGAGAGGGAGAGGGAGAGAGAGAGAGCGAGCGAGAGAGAGAGATATTATATCGATGGAATTATAGGTAGATTTATCGATCACCTGTCCTTGGCGTGTTTTCTGACGCGAATGAGATGATTCGGTCAAGTAATATAAGTTCCTTTGAACTTTTATTGATTCATTGGATATTGTAGTTCAAATAATCTGTTGGCAACATTTACGCAGACGTTCTGTTCCTCCAAAAATACGTTAAATTCTCTGATTTTCACGTATTTTTAGTTGTACTATTATTATTATAGCATGTTTATGTGTGTGTGTGTGAGTGTGCGTGTGTGTGTATGGTGCGCATTCGTGTGAAAGTGAGAGAAGGTGGGATAATGGAAAGGTGATTGCAATGATATCGATTACATTACTTTTCCTGTGAAGATGTTTTTTTTTTTAACATATCTATAAATTATGCAATCATTTTTTGCACCATCCAACATTTACTGGATCGTTTTCTTATCTGATAAGAAAGTAGAAATGAAGAGAGGAAACATATAAATAAATCCTGTAGATATAAATTATGTCTTTCGTGCGGCAAGGTAAGTAATTTTGCTTCCTCCTGCGTATAGCAAATATAGATTTTTTCCCCTAATAAATATGATACAAGTAAAAATGGAGGCATATAAGGATTTCAGAGTTTGGGATCAAATATTTTTCTTGATATTTTTAATACTATATGCGCAGAATCCAATTCATCTTGGTTTATTAAAAGAAAATTATGTAGTACTTATATTTCGGATTTTTTCTTGGTTACAAATGGGAAGTTTTCTTTGTACATACATATGTATTTACCAGTCAGAGCAGTCTCTGCGGTTTCAAAAGAAGAAATAGTTTTAAAACTGTTTTAGTTCAGCATTACGATTGGTATTTTTTTATTATTTTATTTTAAATGAAGCAGGCAATACTCCTCAAAATTTGTGCCTTCATTATTTTGAGTCTTAAATTTTAAATAAGTTCAAACAACCGATTTTTCCGGTAACTATGTATTTTGTTTAATATAGATAAATTAATATATATATATATACACACACATTATTATATATATATATATATATATATATATATATATATATATGTAAGCAAATGTAAATGGATATAGATCCGACAGAATGAAGAAAAATTTGGAAAAAAAAACAAAATCCTTAGATGCAATTATGTTGTTTAAAATGAATGAATCATTCATTTTAAACAACATAATTGCATTTAAGGATTTTTGTTTGTTTTTTCCAAATTTTTCTTATATATATATATATATATATATATATATTATGTATTATTATATATATATTTATATATATATTACCCTAATCAAGGTAGTAAAGCGACTGAGATGCAAGAGTTTACTAGGTGTATAAGAGTTAGAAACTGGAACATCTGCCTCGTTAGACATCTATCGAAATATACATGATCGCTTAAGCGTCAATTCGTAGTTCAGATACATTAGCGATGCGTTGATCTCGTAGATCATACTCGGAACGAAGATCATATACTTTAATAACACCGACTTTTACGCTTGTAAAAATTGTAAATAAAGATAGCTCCACGTCCCAGAAACTCAGAAAGAAATTAAGCTCAGTTTTTTTTTTTTTTCTTTACTCAGTGGAGGAGAGTTCAGATTCAGTGACTGGTTGCCCTAGTCGAGAGAATCAATCTCCACATTGACTATCTTGTTTTGAAATAGCTGAACGTATTTTCAATGTGCTCTTGTACGTTGCCGCTGGACTCAAATAAAGCAACCCACACTTCCATATAAAAAATATATAAACAGTTTTTATTGTTCGAGTTGCATCGGGGAGAGTGAGTTATAATCGCAGAGGTTATGTCTGTGCACACAATAATTGACGGAGACAATCTTCGGTGAAACTCTAGCCATCCTCTCTCTCAGGCCAAGGATTGGTCCGTTTTTTTTATAACATTTGAACGCCCACAAAACTTCAGGTGGCTAGGCCTTTTCCGGTATGGCTCCTATGCAATTTCTTTTGGCCATGCTTCATCCGGCCATCTTCCCACGCAACTACATTTGAACACGCCTCTTCCGGCATGCGCCTACGCAAGCACGTATTTCCTCCCGATCCTGACACCTTTGCGCCTTGTATGTACAGAGCCTAATATACCTGTACGCCCTGTTTATTTTAGCCATTTTCTGTTTATGCTATAACTCCTTCCGGTTTTCATTCACTTTCTGATGCAGCGGAAGTGACGTCAAATGTCTTCCTCAAATGATATCCAACAGTGTGTCGCCAAAACAGGGCATTTATTCTGGACAATTTGGATGAGATGCAGACTGACGGGAGATTATCGTAAAATATATTTAATGCGTGATATGAATATGTTAATTTAAAACGGATAAAATTAAAAAAATTAACGCCAATACCCATTTGGTCAACTTGTAGGGGATTTATAACTTTGGGTAAATAATTGAACCCCCAAGACGCATATACAAAAATACTTACAGAAAATGAGAAACAGAAAGATGTGGAAACAGCAATACAATTATTATTTTTTATCTGGTAGACATTGGCTGTTTATTGTGTTAGAGAAACGAAAGATAGTAAAATGAATAAATGATATGTAGTCTTTCTCATATGTTATATTTCTTATATTTTTATATACTGTGTGCAATGATTGCTCAAGTAATTTACTTGAAAAACAAAAGATGTCTGGAGTTCTCTTATCGCGAATTTTAGTCATGAGTGTTAAGAAGGGGCACATATTATCATCATGGCGTGAAAAGGAAAGGAGGTAAAATTATAGGTCCACTGTCGTGTTGACTGCTTGTCCAATAATGTGTTTTTCACATGTTTGAGTGGCGTAAAATAAGAGTGGGGTTGATTTTCATTGCTTTAGAAATCGTGAATTGTATTACTGATAATTTTACGTCTTATAATAATTTTACCAGTTGAGAGGTTCTCCCCTTTTGACACAAATGGACTCACCCAGGGTATACATATACTATTGCTTGTGAATACCCGGGGAAGAACGAGAAAGAGCGACGAACGAGCACGAATCTAGTGAGCAAGCACGTAGACTCAGTAAGAAGTCGTACAGTGATACGTCGATACCAAGTACTATATATATATATATATATATATATATATATATATATATATATATATTGCTACTAACCCGCATTCCTGGAACTACTAACCTGCATTACCAGTTTGTATTATTACATTAATTTATTTATTTTCTTATATTCCTTTTTGGCGTTTGTTATTTATTGGTACCGGATTTCATCCCGGAATCCACAACATTATCACAATTATTTACGACATTATAATGGAAACGACATACTGTTTTGTATTTGTCACAGACTCAGGCTATAGATATTCGATCCTATTTGAAAAAGGTTTATTTTTCTGGCAAACATTCAGACAATTTGCGAGTGAACATTATTTATAGTTTTTTTTTCCTTTTTAGCGTGATACCTTACTAAATACCGGCACGATAATTAGAATCATGTTAATTATAATTGTCTTTGAATTATTTTATCAGATTTTACTTAGTGTGGAGTGGGGCGTGGCGGTTACTACTTGTTGAGGGTTCATGGCGTGGCTGTTATGTTGTTGATAGAAGTCAGACGTAGAAGAAACGAAGGTTCAGATACTCCTGCCCGCCGAGCCCTACTACATAAAAAGGTTGGACTTTGATTAAGTCCAAAGAAGAAGGCAGGGAAAGCAAACAAAACACAAGACCGATAATATATGTATATACAAATATATATTAATAACAAGTTACAATACATGGAAACAGTACAAAGGACGAAGTGTGTGTGAATATTCTGAATGTGCGTGCGTGTTTGAATATTGTGCTTAGCGTGTTTCCACGCTATCCCTTGTTAGCGCTTACTTTTCGAGGTTGATAGCTGAAATCCTGAAGGAAAAAAGAGAGTTTACCTCAAGGTGTCAGTGCACAGGCCTGAAGAAAAAAGAGATAGAGGTGAAGAGTCAGCGGCTATTTATAGTCAGGGAAGAGAGACCCCTGGTGAAAGGGTTAACGGACTTAAAGAGGA